AAACAAACAAACAAACAGACAGACAAAACATTTAATGGTAAGCAATAATATGAAAAGGTATCATCTTTTTGATTGGCCCAAGCAAGTCTATTTACCTAGCTTTTGATGATTTCCAGCGACAATGCCTTCTAACTGGATCTATTCTTATAGTCTTTCTATATTTATGCATAATTGAGAAGAGGTATATTTTAAAACACTCTGTAAACTATGTTCAGTTTTGTTTCATAGTTATATCACAAACATTCTGAAAGGTTTGGATTTTTTTTGTTGTTGTTGTTTCTGTTCTTTCCATCAATAAGATGGTAAGTTGACTACCCAGGGGACTGTAACAAACTGATTGACAGAAGGAGGTGGTCATCATAAGGAGATTCCACTGAGTAGATGTGGTACAAGTCTGGTCTATGAAAATTAGGTCAACTTAAGAAAGGGAGTCAATGTAGGAAGCTGGTCAATTATGGAGGTTGGTTCTACTGTATGAAATATTTTAAGTTGAAGAGATCATTTCACCTAATTCTTTTTCTTCATTTTCTTGGTAGGGAAGAAATCCTTAGACCTCGGACAAAAGTACAGCTAGTGGGGAGACTAGTAGAGAAAAGCAAGCAGGCCAGAAAACAAATTTCATAGTTACAACAGACTTCCCATACTCCTGTAAATCCTCATGACCCTGACAAGAGTATAGCTGTCCTGGGAGGAGAGCTGGTGCTAGAGGGCACAGACCAAATGGCAAGGTCACAGCAACTCCCTCCCCACCCTCCTGAAATGCTTTAGGGCCCGTGTTCCTGGGAAGCATCAGGATCAGGTCTTTCTGCAAGATTAGCCCCTTTTGTGGAAGGCAGTAATTCTCACATCAGTCTCAGACACAGCATCTTTCACTCTGCAGGACAGCTGACTTCCCTCACCTCTCATGACCCCCACCACCACAGTCCAACTACACTAATAAAAGCCACTTGAAACTGTGTGAGCTGAGCTGACTTCAGGTTAGACTCCAATAAAGCCTATTCATCATCCCTCCTCTCCTTCTTGTGGACTCTGGAAGGACTCTATCCCTAAACCTCTCACTTGGTTCCTACTGAATTCAAGTGCTATTACAAAAAAGATTAAAGACACAACTACAAATAGAATGAAAATATTAAGGAGTACGATATCTGAGCACCAAATGGCAAACAGCAAAAGCTGGGAAGGAAAACAACGAGCGGGTCATATTTCATTGTCACTCAGGATGTGTCCTTAGAATAAAATTATTATGTAGCCAATAACAAGCCTTCTACCCTATATGTTCCTGGGCCATTTTTCAGCATCTCCTTTTACTTTTCCATTGTTTTTTCTCTTTTTCATGTAAAAATATTTTTCAATGGACACTTCATCTCTAAATACATAAATATTTGGCAGCCATCATACAGTTCCTGTGTCCATCTCTATAAGGAGCAATGGTGAATTATCAACCATCAGAGTCAGAAATGGAAAGCACAGTGGACTCAAGATAAAACGGCAGCATTTCTGTTAAAACCAAGAATAGAAATTTCCTATGAAAGTAAAAAGAAATAAAAATTAGGAAACAGAATGGGCAAGGAACAACGTGCTGTATTTTGAGCATGAGACAAAGGACTGTCAAGAAAATGATATTTTTAAATTGACAAATAAAAATTATGTATTTTTTATGGTATGCAATACACTGTTTTGATTATATGGGCACTGTGGAATGATTAAAGCTAATTAACACATCCATCACTGCACATACTTACTATTTTGTCATGAGAACATTTAAAATCTAATCTTGAGGCAATATTCAAGGATACAATATTATTAATTGTAGTTGCCAAGATTTGCAGTAGATTGCTAAGATTTATTCATGCTATCTAACTAAAACTCTATACCCTCTGATCAACATCCCCGCTTCCCTAACTCCAACTCCTGGTAACCACCACTCTATTCTTTGATTCTATGACTTGTACTTTTTCAGATTCTACACCTAAGTCAGACATTGCAAGTATTTGTCTTTCAATGCCTAGCTTATTTCATTTAGCATAATGTTCTCCAGGTTCATAAATGTTGTTGCAAATGACAGAATTTCCTTCTTAAAGCCGAATAGTATTCCATTATGCCTATATATCCACACTTTCTCTTCAGCTGATGGACACTTAGGTCAGATTTGTATCTGAACTATTGTAAATTTTCAAAGATTATTCTGTAAAGGGCTTTAGAAACATGTACTAGATAATAAGCCAATACTTCACTATTGGGTATCAGCCCTTATGAGACTGATTATTAAAGGTCCTCAGGCTCATATAGTTAAGAATCTACAAAAACTGCCCTGAGACAAAGGTGAAACACTAACAACACTCCTGGTCCTGACACTTTAGACCTACTCCTCTTCAACTCCAGTTGGAAAGGCTCCATCCGTCTAGCAGCCTTACCTTTTCCTAGGGATTTTTTAGTCATTTCAAGTAATTCATATCTCCATTAATATCCCAGGATTATCTTGGGATCTCAAGAGGATAATAACCGGTCTGCTTGATCAAAGGTTCTTTAAGATTCCAGGACCAGTCCAAGACCTACCCCACCTGAGTACCTCCACTCTTGCAGTATCAGTGAAGGAAGTTGCTAAAGACCCAAATCAAACATGAAAGGTAAAAACGTGGGAAGAGAATAGGCCCAGGGTAAAAAAAATATAGGCTTGACCAAAGTTCATTTTCAGGCCAAAGTCATAGATGGTTCTTTTCAAAAAGCAGAGGATATGCTGAAATCTGAACATACATAAATCTGAAAGTTACTTTTGATCCAGATTAATCTAAAAGTAATAAGGTCAACATGCAACAACGAAAGCCTCAGTTCAGGGCAACTTTAAGCATTTTTTGATATTGAATCTTAGCAGTTTATATTTGAATGAAGAAACCTAATAAAAGTAATAATCTTTCTTTCTATCTCATAAAATAAAGAGAATGTCACACACACCTGTAATTTTTGTAGATGGAGAGAGAGAGGAAAGGGTTACTCAGAAACCTGTAAGATGATACCAAACTTTGTATTTGTATGCATGTATTAACATCTGTGGGGCATACCATTATATTTCCCCAATATTTGAATATAATAGATATTCCATTCAATAATTTATTTCGGCAAGGAATACAGAGACAGCTATCATAAGAGAAACAGAAAGAGCAAAGAAGGAAAAGAAGGCAAAGAGGAAAGAACAAAAAGAAATAAACACAAGGAGAAAGGAAAAGAGGAAGAGGGGAGGAAAGGAAAGGGAGAAGGAATAGTACTCAAAACAGTGAAATGAAACAACAATGGTTTAATTTAAAGAAAGCCCTTTTTTGTGGTTTGAAATTCACAACAAAACCAACCCTATTGAAATGGAAAACCCTCCTCTTGGGTGCCTGAGTAGCTAGGCTTTGTTAGGAAAGGGAATCAATATTTTACTGGACCATTTCCATGCTAAACACCTCTGTCATTTTCAATGTTGTTTCACTGTCCTCTTCCCATAGTAAATAAAAAATAATACACATTTCCCCCCCAAGGATTACAAACATGATCTCTACTGTATGACTAAAACCAATCATCAGGCAAATTCTTAGCAGAGTTAAGTCAAAGAACATGTATTTACCCAAAGTGAAGGGCAGCCCAGACTGCACCATAGCTACACTTGGCATTGAGACAGCTCCCTCAAACATGCTCTAATTTATCTGCAGTCATGCAGGTTATGGTAAACCTACCACTAAAATTGAAGAGCTTCACTATGAAAATTCTCCCTTCAATTTTCTTTTCTGACATAGGGATAAAAGCCTCACAAATCCTCTCTTGGAGAGAAACCACGACTTTCTGTGCAAATACTGGCTGAAAAAAGACTTGTTAATGCTGCACAGCTTCAATGGAATACACATCACATATTTATCAAGCCATAATCCTATACCTTTTCATCTTCCATTCTCATTTGGAATTATAGCTTCAGAAATGGTAGCATTGGCTCTACAAAGAGACAACCTAAAAATATGCCTCCTTTACATAGTAAATTGAAGCTGGCTTTCTGCTTTCTTCATAATTTTTTTTAATGAGCTGCAAATAAAGTCAGTAGGACTAAGAATGTGATAATAATATATCTTAATGCCTTCTTTCATTTTCCATAGTGTACACGTCTTTCCAAATCCGGCAGAACTCTATACAGTTTAAAAGTTAAATGAAACATAATAAGGAACTTATCTTTCAATTGGTACCTTTCCACGCAGCATGATTCAAAAAGTGTCACATTGCTTAGCAAATTCACTCAAAGAAACTGATTCCAAAAGAAAACTATAGGTATACCAAGTTTTAAAGAGAAGGCAAGAATCTAATTCTAATTGAAACCCGTAAAAATCACGTTCTCAAAGTACACACTCTACCTTACAACTGCAAAAATATTCCTAGTCATTATCATTACTTTGTATTTGATCCAATGCACGTCTCGTTTATAGTGCTATAAAATATCTGAATTTCAAAGCTGATTTTGTTGACTCCTTCAGAACAATCTGAACACGGGGAAAAACATGCTGATTATTACCAATAATAAAACTCAATGCAACTAATTCAGGCATTCTGCAATTACCCAGAATTTAATTTAATCTACTCCCAGAGACAACCTGAGACTTACGGACTCAACACAGTCAGAATTCTTTCCATTGTAACCTGCAAATGCTTTTTGTTTCCATGGTGGATATACCTTTGTGACTTTTTTCCACTTCTGATAGTCTACTTAGAAATAAATCAAACAACAAACTTCCCACTATTCGCATCACTAACCATTCCAAATGTTTATTATCTCGGTGTTATTGTAACCTCTTAGAAATTATTAATTTAAGGGTACCTTGCAGTATGAGGCATCAAGGGACAAGGCTCAACAGAAACATCACCAAGACCAAAAGCAAAAAGCAAAACACTTAAGTGATCCTTAGCCTATTTTGGATTAAAGATGTAAGCAGTGAATGTCAACATACGCCTGCATTAAAAATCAATAATTCAAGACTTACTTTCAGCAGGTCCTTGGAGAAAGCAACACCCCCATTTACTCCTTGGAGATTTGCAATGAACTCTTGGCAGGTCATCTTCTTTCCAATATTCTGAAACAGAACAGGAGCAAACAGGACATCACAATGTCATATACGAAATTAAGATAATCCTTACATATATAATTAAACAGGGTGAGAATCTGTTTCTGCAAACATGACTAGATGCACATATATGAACATATGTACGTATATGCGATACAATTTTAATGCGTAAAAAGCAGATGGCATATTATGCTTTTAAAATTCTCATTAAATATAAATAGCAAAATTATGTCAAGCATTTAACATAGGAAAAAACATGAAAAATCTATGCTACATTTATGTAAATAATACATTATGCGGTTGGTAATAGAAAAACATGAATTATGGCATTTCTGAGTTGAATTCAGAGAGTTGTTTATGTGTTTATTTGTATTTTCTACACACTGTCAAGATATATGACAGATCTGAGATTTACCCTACTTTCAAGCTAACGAGTTAGCCTGTCACAATCTGATAGATGATGGCAGAGGAAATAAGACCCCTGGGTGAGAGGCACAGGTATTTATTACTCAAAATAACAGCAGTAGCCAGAATATCAGCATTATCTTGCCCCAGTTCCCGGAGCCCCAGTTCTCACACAGCAACTTGAATAGGGCCAGATGCCACTTGCACATACATGGGTGGCATTACAGGAGAGAAACCCTGAGCTTCAGGGACACCAGCTTTATCTTCCGAGGCGATAAACAAACCTGACCGCCACTCCAAAGTTCCTGTATCTTCCAAGCTGCTAGCTATATATAGAAATAACCTTGAACAGACAAGAACGCAGGCAACCAAAGCCTCTGTTCACAAAACATACAGGAAAGTGAAAGAGCCATATAGAGATTTGTCTCCTAGCATATGCTTCCAAACTGGTTTAAGCATACTAAAGTTTAGCCCAAGGAAATCATATTCATGAACAAAATGTAATTCGAAAATCTACACTACCAAAAAAGAAAGACATAAATGCTAAGAAAACTAGTAAAATTTCTATTATCATCTCCTATTCCAGCTTCAATCAACTAGTAAAAGGTACCACTTGTGAAGGATTCTGAGGTTCGGTATGGACACCAAGACAAACCTGCCATGAGGGTAGGAGGGGGATGGAGAAATCCAAACAAGTACACAAGCAACTCTGGCAAAATGTGGTTCACATGAATACAGAGTATACAGCATATTAACATACCTGTATACAACATTTTTACAAACGACTGCTGTTCAAGGTCATTTTATTCATTCGTAAAAGATCAAGAATATGTAGAATAGCAATATTAAAATGAGAAAGCATACTCCTGGAGATAAAGACTTAAGGGATGTAGGGCTATGGGTTGATTTAAGGAAATACATGTACAGAATATCAAGTTCAAAAGCTTAGATCTGCTTGAGAACATAGCTTTATATATGGGTCTTAGGATTAATCACGTCTCATCTCTGCTTTTATAGTTGCCCTTCTATTTTACAAAATGAAACAGTCTATTCTACCCAAGCTATATAAATATTTATAGTCAAAGTGCAAAATCTCTTTTTGCCTCTTCATTAGCAAAGAGGGCACACAGTTTATATAAAAGACCAGAGAAAAGGCTTGACAATGAGAACTGGCTTTGTCAACTAACTCATTTGATCACTATTCCGCATAAATTAAATAAATTATATCTGAAGTTTCAAAGTTTTAATAGAAACTTATTAAAGCACAGAAACTTTTATGAAAAACACTGTTTTGCAGAGGCATATTGAAAAAGATAATAACTTAATTTTTCTAATCCTTTTCAAGTATATCAGGTCAAACGAGGCACTTCAAGGTAAAAAGTAATAAGTGTAATCAATAGTCAGTATGAAATGAATTAGAAAGGCCTTTCTGGGTATGATCCAAGGATTTCAGAAGATGAACAAATAATGACGAGGTAATAAATTCTTTTCCAAGTCAGGGAGTTTCCAATTCTCTGCTTTTAACAATATTAAAGGAAGACCTAATTTAATTATTAGAAAATCACCAAAACTATTTTTGATACGTGATCTGGAAAACTCATATACTCATAATATTATGTGTTTTTAAATTAAGGATGTGTTATTAATCAACAAAAATGCAAAAGCAGACTAATATAAAGAGAAACATGAAATCTCTTAAAAATGAGTGTGCTTGTATTTGTACATAAAAGTGTCAACTCATATTTTTAAAACATCAACTTTATTAAAAAATAATATATATAACATTGACAATTGGGAACTAGATACTTCAGTGACTTATAGTGCATTGATAACATTGTGTGGCCATCACCATTAACTAAATTCAGAATATTTTTGTTTGCCCTCCTTAAAAGAAATCATAAACCTAATAGCAGTCACGTTCCCAAATCTCTCCTGCTGTCCTCATTAGGGATTACCTGGCAACCACTATTTTATATTTTATTTTGTCTACTCAGGACATTTCACATAAGTGGAGTCATAACATATGGCCTTTTATAGGTGTCTTATTTAACATGATGTGTTTAAGATTCATCTGTATTATTGCATGAATCAGTATTTAATTTCTTTTTATTGCTAAATAACATTCCATTGTATGGATATACCAAATTTTATTTATCCATTCATAAACTGATGGACACTTAGACTTTTTCCACTTTTTGGCTATTATAAATGCTGCTATAAATATACAGGTGCAAGTTTTGGTGTGAACACGTTTTCGTTCCTCCTAGGTATATACCAGGAATGGGATTATTGGGTCCAATGATAACTGTGTTTATTCATTTGCGAAACTGCCAGACTCCTAGTGGCTGTACCATCTTATACTCCCACTAGCACTGTATGAAGGTTCTAATTTCTCTACAACCTCATAAACACTGAATATTCATGATTTTTATTTTAGCCATTGTATCTATAGTTTTGATTTCTATATACCTAACAATTAACGATTCTCAGCATCTTCTCATGTGCTTATTAGCCATTTGTATTTCTTCTTCAGAGGAATGCCCATTTAACTCCTGTTCCCTTTTATTATTATTATTATTATTTCTTGCAGTTTTTGGCCATGGCTGGGTTTGAACCCGACACCTCTGGCATATGGGGCCAGCGCCCTACTCCTTTGAGCCATAGGTGCCGTCCCCTATTCTATTTTCTTGTTGGGATATTTGTATTTTTACTTTTGAGTTGTAGTTCTTTTTATATTCTAGACCTCAGTTTCTTATTAGATATGCACTTTGTAAATATTTTCTCCCAAGCCATGCATTTCTTTTCACTTTCTTTTTTCTTTCACTTTATTGATGGTGTCCTTTAAAGCACAGAAGGTTTAAGTACATGAAATCCAACTTATTTTCTCTTACTACTTGTGCATTTTGTACCATCTCTAAGAAATGATCACTTAACCCAATATTTACTCCTACATTTCTATGAGTTTGTACATTTAGATATTTAATCCATATTGAATTCATTTTTGAACATAGTAGGAAGCAGTAATTCAACTTCATTCTTACATATAGATGCTTAATTGTTATAATACCATTTATTTTTCCACCAAATTGTCTTAGAACCCTTTTTGAAACTCAACTGATCATAAACGTAAGGGTTTATTTTTAGATACTTGATTCTACTGCACCAATCCCAATGTGAAGCTTTCTACCGTGGGTAGAAAACACACTCTTGACTACTGTAGCTTTGTGGTGAGTTTATCATCTTAACAATTTTAAGCACATAGTCCAGTAGTGCTGCACATGAGTATATTCACATTGTTCTGAAAAAGATCTCTGAAATCTTTTCATCTCCATTCAAACACTATACCCATTGAACAATAACCTGTCCCCTCACCCTAGATGCCTGTAACCATCACTCTACTTTATGTTGCTATGAACATTCCTTACCTCAAATAAATAGAATCATGTATTGTTTTTCTTTTTGTGACTACATTGTTTAACTTAGCATCATGTTCTCAAGGTTCATCTATGTTGTAGCATATCCCAGGATTTCCTTCCTTTTTAAGGTCAAATGATACTTCATTGTATGTATAAGGAACATTTTGTTTATCCATAAATCTGTAGATAAACATCTGGTCTGCTTCCACTTCTTAGCTATTGTGAAAAGAGCTACTATCAACATAGTTTGGCAAATATCTCCTTCAACTTTTTGCTACACACCTAGAAATAGGAATACTGAGTCATATGGTTGTTCTACTTTTCATTATTTGGACCTTCCATGCTATTTTCTATAGTAGTTGCACCATTTTAAAATCTCTCCAACAGTGCAGTGTTCCCAATTTGTCCACATCCTTGCCAATGCTTTTTCCCCCCTCTATTTTCTTGATAAGAGCCATCCTAATGGGTATGAGGCTATATTTGATTGCAGTTTTTTTTTTTTTTTTTTAGAGACAGAGTCTTCACTTTGTTACCCTCAGTGGAGTGTCATGGCGTCATAGCTCACAGCAACCTCCAGCGCTTGGGCTTAGGTGATTCTCTTGCCTCAGCCTCCTGAGTACCTGGGACCACAGGCACCTGCCACAACACCTGGCTATTTTTTGTTGCAGTTTGGCTGGTGCCGGGTTTGAATCTGTCACCCTTGGTATATGGGGCCGGTGCCCTACTCACTGAACCACAGACACCGCCCTTGATTGCAGTTTTTATTTGCATTTCTGTGCCTAGAGAATGCTGAGCACGTTTTTACAAGGTCATAACCATTTGTATACCATCTTCAGATAAATGTCTGTTTAAGTACTTTGCCCCCTTTTTTAGACACATTTAATTTTTAGATATGATGTAGAAGTTCCTTATATAGATTGGATATTAACTCCTTACAGATACAAGATTTGCAAATATCTTTTCCCACTCTGTAGGTTGCCTTTTCATTCTTTTATGTTTTGAGGCACAAAGTTTTTAACTTCGACACTGTCTCATTTTTACTTTTGGTACCTATGCTTTTGAGGTAGCCAAGAGTAACATCATGAAGCTTTGCCCTTTTTCCTAAGAATTTTATAGTTTTATGTCTTTAATCAATTTTGAGATGATTTTTATGACTTTTATATACTGCATAAGGGTCCAACTTCTTTT